GGAAGCATGTTTTGTGATAATGGTCCGACTCGGTAGCCCACAAGGTCACCTGAACTTACTCCTCTGTATTTTTTTCATTTGGGGTCATATTGAAAATAAAAGTTTATCGTTATCTACCTAATGATTTGGGAGGCCTGAATTACACAAAATTCATTAACAAAAGTAACAACAGATCATAGGGGACTCATTAAACATTCGAGACAATGCATACACTCTAACGGCAGAAACATTGTATGTTGCAGAAGTGAATGAACATTGCTTTGTTTTCACTTCAGCAAGAATTTTTGTTTGAATAGATAAATTGATCAATTTTTGTTTAAATTTCATTTATATCGCTACTTAAAGAAAATCACTGAAAACCATCGACTTGAATAGCTCATATTTCTTGAAATATAGATATAAATGACGTTGAAATGATAGGGACTTTCGAAACAACATCAAAATCAGATCCGTATTTTATCCTTGTCTTTCATAGGTTGAACTATGATGAAAATCATTGTAGTTAGGGATTTGTCTCTCTTCTATAGATACTTTCACGGAAAGTATTCACTTGACCTGGCACATTCGATTCTACCAAGAGTGGTACATATCGTCTGCTTCTATGTGAAATAAACTTCCTGAAATATTGAGCCACTCATATGTGAATATAATTTGTAAATTGTGAAGTTGAATATTTCAATGAATGAAACGAACGATTTGGGTATAATCTTTGATGTGAACCTTTCATTCACCACCCACATCAACAGCACCATCAATAGAGTTCTTAAACTTCTTGGTTTTTTTTTTTGAAATTTTACCAGTAGATGCCACCAGAATTGTTTACATAGCTGATATAAGATCTGTTTTGGAGTATGCGTCATTTGTCTGGTCTCCTCATTATACAGTACATGTACATAATATTGAAGCAGTGCAAAATTACGAGGGGGGACCCAAAGAATCATAACTTCTTTATTTCTCAATATTTTAACACCAAATTTTGATCATCTTCAAAGTATTCACCATTGATCACAACGCACTTCTCCAAACAATTCTTCCATTGTTCAAAATAGTTTTTAAATTCACTCATCGGGATGTCCTTTAAGCCTTCCAGTGATTTCTGTTTTACTTCCTCTACAGTGGCAAAACGCTTCCTTTTCATATTCCTTTTGAGTCTGGGGAACGAAAAGAAATCACAGGAGGCATTTTTGGTCAAAAATTGCTTCACAGAAAGGGCGGTGTGGGCCGGCACGTTGTCATGATGTCGCCTGTGCGCCAAAGATCTGACTGACCTTTTCTTCCGGATACTCTCCCTCAATATTTTCAAAACCTCCCAAGTAGAACTTCTGGTTGGCAGTTTGACCCGGGGAAACGAACTCCGCGTGCACAACACGACGTTTTCATCAGTTCTTGACGTTAAGGGGCGTCCTGAACGAGGTTGGTCTTCAATAGACATTTCTCCATTTTTAAAACATGAAAACCAATCGTAAACTCTGGTTTTACTTAAGGCAGCATCCCCATAAGCAGTCTTATACATTACAATAGTTTCCGCGGCCAATTTCCCCAACAGGAAACAAAAAAGCCCGTTGTTCTCGTCAATCTGCCATTACGTTTTCCCGAAATGTAAAAAGTTGTTTTACTAAAAAAAATTTCACAGCGACACAACTTTGCACACTGACGCAGGTGGCGTCACTTCCCCACCACAGCGTAATTCCGGTTTATTTTTAGGTCCCCCCTCGTAGATTCCTCAGACATGTTGCCTTCAAATCTGGCCTCACAGTTGGAGAATATGATTATTCTGATATACTTTATATTGCCAATCTTCACATCCTTTCTTTTCGTAGAACAAATAACAATATCATTATTTTATTCAAAATCAGGTGACATTAATTGTAATGATCTATTACGTGAAGTCTCATTCCGAGTACCTCTTCGTTCAACTAGCTACAATGATCCTAATGTCTCTAATCACCATAATAACTATGAATACTTCTCACCCATGTCGAGGGTTATCCAAGAAGCCAACTGTTTAGATTATAACAGTACAGAAATTCACTGAATACTTTTGAAAAACAGTGTAGCAATAAAATTCAATAGTTAACTAGCTAGGATGTTGATTTTAAGTTTATATTATTTGAATTTTATATATTTACATTGATACATGTCTATATTTATACCTACATTGAGGTTGAGTTAGTTTTAAGGTAATACAGTATTTGTATATTTCTTTTTTCTTATGGGAGTTACCAGTATACATAAATAAATGAATAAATAAATTCCAGGTACAACTCATACAAAAACACACCGGGAAAAGGACGGCAGCCGTCGGCGACGGAGGCAATGACGTCAGCATGATCCAGCAGGCCGACGCCGGCATTGGTATCGAAGGTCGCGAGGGGAAGCAAGCGAGTTTGGCCGGAGACTTCAGTATCCCACAGTTCTCTCACCTGTCCAGACTACTGCTGGTACACGGCAGGAAGTCGTATAAGAGGTCTGCGTCTTTGGCACAGTTCGTCATCCACAGGGGCTTGATCATATCCACAATGCAGGCTGTGTTCAGCAGCGTTTTCTATTTGAGTTCAGTGGCGCTCTACCAGGGCTTTCTGATGGTGGGATACGCCACTGTGTATACCATGTTTCCAGTGAGTTTGTTCATTTATTAAATTTAAAAACTTTTGAGCAAAACGTTTCATTATATCAATCACTCAATTTGCAGTGGTATGCAGGGTTTTCTGTCTGACATTTTGTCTATAGCTGCGGTAGATATCAAAGTTTATGAAGTAACTGACGAAGTGCTCTAGTTGTCCTGATAGAACACACTACATTGTTGGTTTTGGTCTCCAGTTTTACTCCATCGATGGTGCAGAGGTAGGGAAAAGAAGCTTGTTGGTTTTCTACTTCTCCATCCTTATACAAAAAAATTAGAACACTCAAGGAAATTAAGAAGCTAATAAACCTTTTTCCCCAAAATCGAATTTCTCCTTGAAAGTATTTCCATTTCAATTTGCTTATGTGGATTCCCTATCCTTTTCACTTGGAATTATCTCTGTGCTTGACAAATCTCCGAGCTATTATCCAAGACCCAAGAAAGAGGGAATTAACATAAATCAATCCGAAACATTTTTTCTAAGGACAAAACACAAGCACTACAGGAAAATCCTTTAGGCGTTCTAAGAGCGGTGCCTGTGCGAAAGTAGTGATTCACATAGGATTTGAATCGCTGGAGATTGATCTATTTGGAAAAACGTCAGGAAGTTTATTCTACAGTTTTCCAAATGAAAGAATTCTTGAACAGTGAAGTTCGAGGTGTACTGAGTTGAACCTCAAAACGTTGGGCAACCACAGTCCGTCGCGTAATTTTGATATGTTCCACTCTCGGTTGAATCAAATGTACCAAGTCACTGATACTTTCTGTGAAAGTATCTATAGAAAAGAGGCAAATCTCCAACTTTTTTTCGCTGTTCCAGACTATGAAGGTTGCAAGTGATCTTCACTGATCTTCACATCTCCAATCAGGCGGATAACTCTTTTCTGGATGGAATCCAGCAGCTTCAGGGTATATTTAGGGGTGGAGCTCCATACATGAGAATAATCCGAAACATGCACTGTTCCGAAACACCAAAACTGCAACAATCTTCTTGACACACGTTTCAAAAGTTGGTATCTTCAGTACATGAAGTAGACTATTTCGTCTCCTGAATGCCAACTTGGTTGGTGAAATGTAATGAAGTAGTCTACTTCATCTCCTGTAGACGCCAACTTGGTTGATGAAACGTGCATTGAGAAGAGTGTTGCAATTCTGAACAGTTTACATTAATTCTACACCAGAAATTCCAGTTTAACTTTCAATTTCAACATCAACCAAGTCTGGCTACCTGTACTGAACTGTACACGAATTAAGCCAATTAATATAACCAATAAAACTAAGCCATCTAATAAAACTGAACCTTGAATGGTGTAATATGTGCTGAGGGGACAACTAGAGCACTTCATTCATGACTTCTTTGCCTTAACAGTTTACAGTATTCATCGAAAGTTTTTTTCTGCCATTATTTTCATTACTTTTTTGTGGGATTAATATTTTTTCTGACAGACTTGACAATCCTCATACTAATAAAGCATATATCATAAATTTATCAGATACCATTTTTCCTTAAAAAACGTAACTGCAATTTCTGAGTGGTGTTGCAAGTTTTGGATTTATTGGTACTAACAATAATATTAATTTTTGCAAAAAAAAAACATATAGATGGATAATAACAAAAGAAAAAGTTCATAAATTACATATATACATAAATGTTCCAAACAAACAAATGTAATGAATGAATCAGAATTATTAGGACTAACACTTTTCAAATTATTGGATTTTGTAGTATCGTGATTATGGGTATTTGAATTAACTACATGAGGAATGGTTCAAAACGTCCTCAATAGATGTCAAAGTAGTTTTGAAAGGTTCTCCATTACAATTTCAATTTTTTCAGATTGTTGAAGGTGAAAAAAATCATCATTTATCAATCATTTATATTTTATACACTTATACTTCACATCTTATACTTCATGTTTATTTTGATATTTATTTATGACATTGTGTTTGTAACAAGAATGTATTCTTAAACAATAAACATATTATCAATCAAACCATAAAAGGCCAATCAAAAACATTGTTTTCAGATATAACTTCAAACTTATTCTAACAAAACTCAGACTGTTTCCCCAAAATTTTAATCTATATGTGAATTACTGCCAGTTTTCTGAATTAATTTTCATTCAAGAACGGATAACTTAGTTTTAAATAAATTTTCAGGTTTTCAGTTTGGTTCTTGACCAAGATGTCAGTCCTGAAATAGCTCTCACCTATCCAGAATTGTATAAGGAAATGGCAAAGGGTCGGAGCTTATCATTCAAAACCTTTTTTATGTGGGTTTTGATAAGTATTTATCAAGGTATGTATTGTGCATCGAAAATAAGTCAATATAATAATGAAAACGAAATGACGTTGCTACTGTTCCAAACAACCTAATCTCTTAATGAAGAATTGCTTTTATTTATGAAATTCACTAAAAAGTTACCCCATGTTATATATAAAATTCTCGTGTCACAGTGTTAGTTGTTATACTCCTCGGAAACGGCTTGACCGAATTTTATGAAATTTTATGTGTATATTTGGTAGGTCTGAGAATAGGTCGTACTCTATTTTTCATACCCCTAAGTGATAAGGGTGCTCCACCTTAAACATTTCTTTTTGACAATTTTTTTTATGGTGTGGCAATAAAAAATACATATAACCCTCAATTTATATCTTTCTATCACCAACCACTATTATTTAATAGCCATTTTGGTAATATAATCAGTTTTAACCCTCTCACTCGGTAAACAACCCGGAGTAGGGATGAGGACGAAGCCGGTCTCCTGTCTCTCTCACGCAATAAACCTTCTTTCACTTCCTGCACAGTTTTCGGCCACTATTATTGTTTACAATTTGTGATGCCACCGAAGATGTTAATTATCCAACAGTGTTTGTGCCACCGCATAATTACAACTGAATGATGGATCGCTACTTAATTTGCATCCACCACGGCTGTGCAACGGCGCGCAATTAGTCATTAAAAAATAATGAAAAATGTTGACGAAGCCAGCATTTTCAATGTCAAGTTACGGTGAAAATATATGAATACCACTAATCCCTATTATACGTACAGATGTGCCAATTCATTTTGAACGTGTACAATTTCCGATTATATTAGCATTTTCAATGACTATTAATGAGTCCCAAGGCCAAACTATGTCCTTTTGTGTCTTGGATTTGAGCACACCATAATTTTCACACGGACAATTATTCGTTGCATGCTCTCTAGTGGACAAACCATCTAGTTTGTGTGTGTTAGCTAAACATGGACTAACGAAAAATATTGTACACACTATAGCATAAGGCACACACTTATGTTCTCCAAAAGTCTATAATACCCAAGTATTTGACTTTTTTTACTTGTTCGAGATCGAGTTCCCTCATAGTTTGATTTCCAAATTCTGGCTTGGCAGTGTTTTAATCTGGTTTTCTCTTGTAATGAGCATACATTTTGTTTTATTTTCATTTATTTCAAGCAAATTACTGCAACTTTATTCATGAATACAATTTATTGTAGAGTTTATTGTTTGCTTCAATATTCCATGGTCTGTGGATGAAAAATAGGTGAGGGTGTCATCAATAAGTGGATTTCACACATTCCAGCTTCTACTATATTATCTATATAAATCAGGAAGAGTAAAGGGCCGAGAATACTACCTTGTGCCACCCCAAATTGATATCTATTATCCAGATAATTTGTAAACCATTTCAATGCTATGCCCACAAAATGATACTTTCTTTAGCACTAATCTATTTCTGTCCACTACTTCAAAAGCCCTCTGTAAATCAAGATCATCTTAAACACATTGAAATTCTGTTTCACAACTATGCTTTCTTTGAAGACCAAACTGAACACTATTAACTATGTTGTTATCTTCAATTTATCTTACCAACTGTTCATACACTACCTTTTCTAAAATTTTGTCAATCGAGCTCAGCATATTTATTGGTCTTAGATCAGAAGCTTTATTTGAATTAGATACCTTTGGTAGTGGAATTATGGTTGCTATTTTCAATTCATTTGGAAATGTACTAGTCTCTAGTGAAGTATTAACAAGGTTGAACAACGGTTCTGCAATATTTTATGTACTTGTGATGCGCTCTTTGGAACCTTTGGTGTAGTACTTAATGAACATTACTGGAGTTTTTTCCCAACACCAAACCATTATTTTAATACCTCGACACATGTTTCGATCACTAAGTGATCATCTTCAAGAGGAAGATTAAACTGAGTTTAATCTTCCAAGTGATCATATTTAAGAGGAAGATTAAACTCTGTTAAATAACGGTTTGGTGTTGGGGAAAAAATCCCAGTAATATTCAATATTTCATGAACAATATATTCATGTCGTCAGTACTACTTTTATTGAGCATTAAAAAAATAATATTTTTCAACTCCATGTAGTCAATCATCCTAAATTATTCCAATTGAGAGTTATTATTCCGAGTTGTGACAGGGTATTTTGGTATACTTTTGTCAATATTTTCAATTATGTACTTGATGTTATTGATATTATATTTGTTTGAAGTGTTGGATATATCACAGATATCTTTGATAGTCTCCTGTTCGAAAATTTGAATTTCATTTAAAACACACGTGTTTTCGGTTTTGGATAACATTCCTTTCAATAATCTCCACATGTCATTAGGCCTACTCCTATTCTTCATAATTGCATTTCCATAATAAAGCTTTTTTTCGTGCCTTATTGTTTGTATAGCTACATTTTGATTTTGTTTATATTGTTCCCAGTGTTCTGAACTTGTAGTGCTCACAAACATTATATAACTACTGTCTCTCTTTCTTGTAGCTTTGGCAACACATTCGTTCCACCACACTTTGAATTTTGTATATAATATGCACTACGCCATAATAATCAAAGAAAACAGTGAGAAAATCCTTGATGTTTGATCGAACTGGGCGTCCTTTTTTTGGGTTTGGCTCTCCTGGGCTTTTCCATTGGGACGATTGGATTTTGGTTTCGATGTCATAACCATATACCCATGATTCGTTACCAGTTATGACCCTTTCAAGCAAATCTAGAACGCCGTTGACTTCATTCAACAATTTCTGAGCGATTCTCATGCTTTTTGGTCAAAATTCAGCAATTTTGGAACGAATTTCTCTGCCACACGCTTCATGCACAAAATTTCAGAAAAATTGCATTCCATAAGCTAACCGATGGCCTTCATCCTCGGTAACTTCTCTAATAGATTGGACCATTCCCCATAACAATTTTCTTCATTTTACCAACATTTTTATCGGTTGTTGTTATGTGGGGGGTCCAGGGTGAGTGTCGTCATTCACATATCAACCTTCTGTGAAAAACTTGTCAACATTTTTCTGACACAAGAGTACAATAACTTGTCTAAAAGAATGTGTTCATGTTAGGTATTGATGACCATGTGTAAAGATTCGTTGCCTGATATATTTCGAAAATTTTACAAAATGATGTTTTACTCTACACTAACCAGAAATAATGATCAGGTTTTTATAATTTTATATTAGTTGAGTTGATGGTTTGGGAGAGTAGTTTTTTAAGTATTAGTTAGAAAATTATTTTTTCGTACGAAAGCTCGTTGTTTACCGTTTTTTTATAGTTTGTTTTTATGAATAAACAAATGAATTTTGTGTTGTTTAATGGAATATGATTATTTTAGGGGGAGTGATAATGTATGGAGCCCTGCTGCTATTTGAAGACGAATTTATTCACATCGTAGCCATAAGTTTCACCTCCTTAATTCTGACAGAACTGATCATGGTGGCCTTGAACATTAGGACGTGGCACTACTTGATGGTCCTGGCTGAACTGTTTTCACTGTGTCTTTACGTTTTGTCTCTTATTGTTCTGCATGACTATTTCGGTGAGTTTCAATCTTGAAATTTTCTCTGGAATGATATTCATTGGCGCACTTTGTAGATTCCGAATTCATCAGAACGAGGGACTTTTTCTGGAAGGTCTTGGTGATTACGTTGGTTTCCTGTTTGCCGCTTTATATCCTGAAGTTCTTGCGGAANTACGCCGTTGTATTTGAACTGACAGCAAAAATGTCACCAGTAGAACCTTTGCTTATTTCGATTAAATTGAATAATTCACTGAGGTATTAGTTTAAAGTAGACTCATACAAACGGACAAAACTTTTGGAACCTAATAATCACTTTTGAATTCATTCCTTTAATTCAACAACTATTTTTATACATTTTCAACAATTTCAAAAGTGAACCTGATATCAAAATAGCTGGGTGGAATGCATTACCAATAAATGAAATTTATTCAAAATCAAAGGACAAAGAATCACCTTACATAAAAATCAATAGTGTGTACAGCATACCTTGCACTTCTTACAACAAAAACTATATTGGACAGACAAGTTAGAATTTAAAATCAAGAATAAGGACATACACACATGCGTGCGCGAAGCTGTTGAAATTAAAAAACGTCCCAACTACCTCAACAAATAAGATGATTCACAAAGATTACTGTTTGCTGTTAGAAATTACAGTCGCCATACTATTTGCTTATGTACTGATGATAGAATGACCATCAGATCACCATCAGACGTAGTGAATTTCAAATAACCTCTGGAGAATGATGCCATAGACTCAACCCATCCTGTTTTTTGACTCTAAGAGCTGTATTATGCATTAGCTTGCAAGCAATTTTTCACTGTCTAGCCGCTACAATGGTATGTCATAGGGTGTTGCCGGTGAGATCCACCTTTTATAATGGACCCCTTACTAAACCGTTAGATGTATATTGAATCAAGAGAAACATTTCTTTTTGTCTCTCTGCAGCTTCCACTTCAGTTACATCTAATTAATAACATTAAATTATTAATAACATATTCAAAAAACATTTTATTGTGAGGTTTTAGCTAAACAGTTTTACAAAAATGCAACACTTGTTTCGCCATACAATGGCTTCTTTGGGCGTGTCTTTACTAACTATATTCTACATTTTCAATGATCAATATACCTAATTTTACAATTTGAAGTACCTACATTTCAAGTACCTGAGTTGGAATGAATTAAATTACCTGTGCCTATGTCCCAGTTCCCACATTTCAAAAATATTTAGTAATGGGGAGTTATTCATTTCTGATTGATCATTTAGTAAATTACCAGATTTATTGAATCTATTGCTTTCTAAACACTCTAGAATATTGAGTTTCTAACTCTTCTCCTCTAAATATAATACGTCGTATTCATGATTAAACTCATGTCCATCAGCTATAAGGTGGCTCTTTGATTCATTGCGGAAACGTTCTCCCTGTTTGGCTAATATACAGTTTTGGGCAAGAGCTACAAGTCAGCTATATACTCCTGATCAATTTGGCTCACACCAGGTTTTTGTCGATTTTGTACTTACTCAATTTGATTGAAAAATCTCAATTACAAAAAACTGCAAAATAGAGGGATGAGGGTAATTCTGGGATGTAATAAATTTATACCTATAGCTTTAATGCTGGATTCACTGAAATGGTTACCAGTTGTAAGCAGACTATGACTATGACATTCATATTCAAGATAACACTGAGTATTTTAAAGAATTTGTTACTTTGAATCATAACATCCACAATTATTCTACTAGAAATAGAGTAAATTCACATATAAATAGAACAAATATGAAAATGGCCATGAATTATCTGTTCTTTAAAGGTTTAGATTCCTATAATAGACTTCCATAAATGATTAAAAATGCTATTAAACAGAAACTAGTTTAGTACATCAGAAATCAACCCAATGTTGTTTATTAGGCATACAATATTAGTGATTAGTTTTATATTCATATGAACTCGTTTTCTTGTTCTTTTTGATTTTAAATAAATATTTGATTGATGTAGTTCTTTTATGTATAACAACATACTAATATGAGTGTTAATTTTATAATTATAAAGGTATTTTGAATCTTAAGTTTATATTCATATGAACTCGTTTTCTTGTTCTTTTTGATTTTAAATAAATATTTGATTGATGTAATTCTTTTATGTATAACGACATAGTAATATGAGTGTTAATTTTATAATTATAAAGGTATTTTGAATCTTAAGTGAATGTTTTTTAAATGAGTTGAATGTTTTTTTATTGGTGTATATTACTCAGGGTTAGTATATTGGGGCGGTTGGGTAATGTTTGATGACGTTTGCAGCCACAACCGCGGCTTTGACAACTTCAAACTTCTTCATCAGTGAACGAATATACAATATTAGAGCTATCTATTTCAGTAACTAGGTATGTTGTCAATTATACACTTTATACAATCATCAGAATTGCCTTTTTCTTCTTGGTTATTTCTGCGGCAGAAACCAACCGTGCAAACATTTTGGAACGGGACTGCGCGTTTCAAATTCTGCTCTTCCTAGTTCGGTGAAATCTATTGCGTTTAGCACCAGGAGTCCGACGTGGTTCGTATCTTCTCCACCCCATATCATGGATAACACCACTATGCCATCATCTTCGAACTGCCAACAAAAGTATTGCATCAAATCATTAATATATGTCTTTCCCTTTTGATGAGAATGTTAATTAAATTCTTTTCATCAATATCAAATAGTAGATAATCAGCAAAGCGTGTCCGACGCGTTTTTTTGAACTTTGAACCAGTAGATCAAGCGAAACGTCTGGGGCTTATTCTTGAAAGTAATTTAAGATTTTAAACCCAAGTGAAAACATATATCCAAAAGGCTTATCGAACTCTTGAGATTCTTTATGGAAATAAAACTTTTTAATTTATTTATTTCATCGTGTTGAGTACAGAATATATTTATGACAATTCAGTAGATGAGCAAAGAGACTTCTGGCGCAATGGGAGTGGGGGTAACCTATCAGCGTCATCGAAATCGACGCAGGATGGAACGAGTATAGTAGCGATTTGAGCGTGGAACTCCGCCCCTCGGCCCCCTTGGTTCATCTCGTCTTCTGTAAGACGGCGGGGGTAGAGGGGCGGTCTAAGCAATGAAGCGCCATTGCCGAGAACGCGCGCAAACGCGTGAGGGCAGACGTTAACGGTTGTGTTAGTTTTGCAAATTTCTTTATAGGTAATAATTCGATTCTCAAAGCTATTCATTACTCAGTGCAGTTGGCATATTTCTGTTAGTTACTGTATTGAAAATTCAAACTACTAGCTTTTGCCCGCTTTTATATTAACGTACAGCCGAAGCTACTGAGCCTAGCATCTTGAAATATGCAGGTAGGTTCTTTGTATAGCGTAAATAAGCATCAAGAAAGGGAATCAGGAATTTGCACTCCAAAAGAACTCCAGAAAACTGGAGTTCTGGGTTAATGAAAAAATATTGTAACCAATTTGTTTTAAATGATCTCTCACGAAACTTAATGTGACATACCAAATTCTACACGGGCGAAGCCGCAGGCAACACCTATTTTTAAATGAAGGTGTTAACCAATTAAATTACGACTAAACAACATACTTTACCTTAGACTCTGGATTTGGGATGAATATGGGCTCACTTGGATAACAATTTGGCTCACACCAGGTTTTTGTCGATTTTGTGTAAGTATCCACTTTTATGACCTGTAATTGAAAATAATTTTGTTGATCCTGGTTCACAACTATTTGAGCAATGGAGAAATATCTCATAATTAATCTGGTATTGGTAAGATTTCCGATACCAAAGTTGCTGAAATGAATAAATATGATTATAATTGTATTCTAGGAACAAGTATGGAAATTCTGTTGATAGAGTTCAATGAAAGATAATGCCCAGTTATTTGATGAACGGTTGCCTGGAGTTGATTCATAAAATCACATTCAGTTGACACGTCAAGACAACGCCACTGAAGAAGACTGCCGCAGTTGCAGTTGAAACGTTTGGAGATTATAACCACGGCAAAACCCGGAAACCAATCAAAACAGTATAGATATTGATCTATATTATTCTTTTTTTTTTTGCCTATTCTTTATAGTTTTCTAACTTGATATATGAATAAACTATATAACTCCTCAAAACAAAACTTATGTAAATCTCTACAAAAGCACTACTTCATGCATTGAAACTGAAATTAAAATTTCAAAACATCTTTCGTAAAAATGTATTTTATATTTATAAATGACTGCGACTATTATCTTCCGACATTGATTGATTAATTTATTGATTGATAGATATACTCACTGTTCCTGGGTTGTCAGCATCAACATCAGAACTTATTGCGTAAAAATATCTATATGGTTTTCCTGAAATTTAAATATGAACCACAGATTTGTTTGTATTTCAGCCTGTCTTGTATAATTTTTTCAACTCACCAAGATAATTTTCGTAGTTTATTCTTGGTGTTTCACATCCAAGGTTGCAGAGCTTTTCTGGCTGAATATAAATGTCACCATTTGGCAGATAATGGGCTTTCGCTCTGGTATTCTTCAATTTAACTAAGTTAGTCTTTGGACTGGAGGTCATTTTATCAGGATTTAATGGCAATACGAACCTGGCAGGTCTTCCTCGAAACATTTTGGCATAGTCTGGATTCTTCTGCATCGACTGTAATAAAAGTACATCAAAGTTTCTTGTAGAAATGAAATTTGGTTTTGATAAATCAGTTGGTAGATGAAAACTTTCATCTAGAATTTTTTTTTATTCTACAGGAAAGTGAAGCAAAAGTTAAACAAGTCATTACCAGAAAATAGGTCACAATTTAGAAAAGCACAACGACCGGTCCCAATGATCTTTTATTAAAGGAGATCGTCCTTGCACTTTCATTTTCAAGCGAGGAATGTATCATCAAATAGGATACTGTTTTTAAACCCTGGAAATTATCACAACTATTTTTGAATTCCGTCTTATAATTTTGTAAAAATTTTAATTGGTTTCAGCTACACACTAATTTAGTGTGTAGCTGAAAATTCATTCATGAATACTCGCGTATTCGAAATGTTCTGGCACATTCCAAAGCAAAAGAGGTTTGTTGTAATCTATGCATTCAACATTTTGAGCATTCCCACATAAATAAATCAGTGGGCGACAAATCCGGTGTCGTCATTCAATGCTGTGAAATATTTTGAGATGACGCTGTTTGCAATTCTACTTGCCTAGCTTTATGTGAGATGATAAACAAGAAAACGAATGTACCATTGGAACTATCATTAATATTAAACAAATACTGGTAAACTGTCTATGTTGTACTCGCAAGCCTAATCTACCTTCAGAAGTTTAGTTATGTTCAATGATGATGTACAAAATCAATAATATTTTTACTGGTTCAATTATCTGTTATTAGAAAATAATACTCAATGAGTTTTTGTTTCAATTTCATACGTACACATACATCTACGAAACTATTAATGAATTAATAAAATATGAAAGTTCTTTAATGTCTCCATAATATTTTAAAGAGTATGTTTTGGATATATCTGAGCATTACATCCAAAACTTGTATAATGTAACTAATAAAGAGTCATCGAAGTGTAACATCTAAGTATTTCGCCTAGCAAAAATCCCCGAGATGTCATAAAGTATATATTGAAAGGGTTATATTTTTAGGAGTGACTTATTTTTGGAAAAGGAAGTTTTTGGCCCCCTACTACTCCATCTTGATACATATGGTGTAGAAATAATTTGTTAGAGGTAAACATCGATAATATCGTCAAATCATTACGTTCGCTAAAATTAGAAGTCCAATATTCCAATAGAGAAACATTTATTCGTGATCTGGGAGTTAAATTTGATAGCTAAATTAATTTTAATCTTCAAGTATCAGAAATTATGGCAAAAAGTCTCAAAATGCTAGATTTTGTGTGATTTTTCAATCAACACAAAAAATATTTTATATTGTGCTTTCGTAAGATCCATTTTTGAATATTTTTCGGTTACGTGGGACCCATACTATAATGCAAATATCGATTTGATTGAGAATGTGCAAAGAAATTCTTGAGGAATTGTGCTTTTCACTTTGGTATTCAATGAAATGAATATATGAGTACAGTCAACTCTTAACCAAGTTGAATATAAAATCATTGGAAGATAGTAGAATTTCTATGAACTTGAGTCTCCTCTTAAAATTAATAAATAGTGAGATAAACTGCCCAGAACTACTTCAACTAATAACTTTTTTTATCAAACAAAAAGATACGAGAAATCCTGACATTTTTCATATACATTTTTTCCATACCAATTGTGCTTTGAACAGTCCGATTCCTCGTATTCTGAAGCTGGAAAATCAATATCATAATACTTCAGGTCTTTAAAAATCAATTGAAAAGGGTATAGCGTTTTCGAAGCTTTTCTTTACCTTACCATTTTCTTTGTAAGAACCAGATTTGTTTCATCTTTTAGTTATGTAGTCACTAGACATAAGGATTTATTACTATTTTGTATTTCACACTTCGCTAAATGTTTTGTAAATTGTAATTTAGACATTAGACATGAGCATTCAAAAATACTTTGTAGTTCCTCACACTTTGTTAAATATGTTTTTGTAAATTGGCTTTGCCGTTGAATAAATAAATATATATAAACGATTGCTGCAAAAGTTTTGAAAAATCTAATGATGTTTTTAGAAACCAATTATGTGAAGAATGTCTATTACTGCCATAATCGTTACTTCTGAAAAAGCTAATAAACTTTACATTCAAAATAACGTCTGACAATAGAAGGTTTTCAATAACAACTCTACATGAATTGGGTGTTTGCAGGGCCTATACGTTCAGGAGATGTGTAGAAACATATGTTTTACCTTCATGGTTTCCACATACATGGCATCTAAAACAGATGGATCTTTATATATACAAATGTCCAAAATGATGTGATCCTCTTTTTCATACTGATTTATAACGTGCAGGTAGAAAAATGCTTCTGCCTGGAAAACTTTCGCAAGTTTCCCCGTCTGTCTGGAAATTATTGTTATTCTTGTCTGAAAATTAAAAATGTAAACTTATTCACGATATCTTGAATCTCAAATTTATTTTTCTGCATCAATATAATTCCTTGTGAAATTTATCTAGTCTTTTACATTTTCATTTTAGCTCTTCGATGATTTGAAACAAATTATCTTCATAACACTTACATACTCCTCGTGGTACCATTTCAAGCAGCCAGCTATTGGTTCATTTGTTAATTTGGCAGAAACAACTCCAGTTATAGATATGCTCAAAGGCTGCTCTACGATTACATAGTAATTTTCTGTAATACCTATAATCAAGTTCATTGAAAAAATTGTCGAATATGATGACATTTCGAGTTACCAAAAGAATGCATATATGACGGATTCAAACTCCATCGTGCAGGTACAGCCGCAACAATCCTGGCTTTTTCAAACATCGAAATATCGGGGTCTAAAGTACAGACAATTTCAATAAGTTAGTGTACTGTAAGATGTAGTTTCTCAAAATTGTTTAGCATCGGTGTATTTGACCGAAAATTGGTTATTATCTATTTTTTCCTTTGGTGCCATCGGCATCGACTACTGTAGTCATCAGGCTCTGACGTTTGTTTGAAGGTAGTTGACAATGTTTCATGATGCATTCCATTAGTTCGGACTTCCGTTGTCTAATATGATATAAAATGATTTGAAATACCTGAAATAATCAATAAAATTAAAATGATTAGCTGAAAATAACAATTATATTAAGCAAATAGAAACTAAATGAAATAAAATACAAGCAACAATTGAAAATTGAACAATTAACAAAAAACGGAAATTAGAAAATAAAAGATTTCAAGCCAAATTATCACACAAGTATCCACAATCGTCTTCTGGTGATGACTGGACTTGTTCCTCCGAAACGTCGTGAAATAACTTGACTTGAAATCTTTCAACTTTCATTTCTTGTAAATTTTTCAATTGTTGCTTGTGTTTTATTTTATTATGATTTTAGTTTCTTTTGAATATTACTGGAGTTTTTTTTCCCAACACCAAATCGTTATTTTTACACCTCGACACGTGTTTCGATCACCAAGTGATCATCTTCAAGAGATCATCTTAATATAATTGTTATTTCCAGCTGATCTTTTTACTTTTATTAATTCGTTTAAGGATTTCAAATCATTTTATATCATTTTAGACTATGGAAGTCCGAAGTAATGGAATAGGCTCTGACATTATGCCTCCAATTGTCAACAACGAACTGCCTTATACAGTACTGTTCCCTAGTAGAGAGGACTGGATCCTCCGGTTGAAGGAAATGTTAGGAGCAGAGAGTTGTTGGTTCACAGATGGATCAAAAACACCTTCATTCTGGTGCAGGTGTTTTCAGTCGCAGACCAGGACAGAGATATCAATCTGCCTAGACCTATGCGACTGTATTTCAAGCGGGAATCCATGCTATTGAATTGTGTGCAGACAGATTGGTAGAATCCAACCTCATAAAATTGCTAAAAACGACTCTCCTCAATAGGAAGACTTGAAAAATTGTCTCTGGTCTGGATTCCTGGTCATACTGGCTTGAAAGACAATGAGGCTGCTGACTCCCTTGTAAAGGAGGGTGCTACAAGCAGCTTCATCGAACCAGAACCTGTCATTGGCATCCCTTTAGGCTTTGCCAAACAAACATTGAACACCTGGATGGCAAGAAAATTTATGGACTTTTGACAGAATCTTTCAGTATTGGCTCACTCCAAGGCGTTTATTCACCCTTCGAAGCTTGATACCAAACAGTTGTTGAACTACAGTAGGGATGAACTACGATGTCTTTGTTATCAAGTTTTTATACTTATATGGGGTCAAACCCGAAACTGGTCGAATAAATGAAATCTACCAGTGGTATTTAGACATAAGTGTTTTTTAGTCATTTCATTTAAGTTATTATGAATTACCATGAAGTAAACAAATCATCAATCACACATATTAATTCAGGTCGTGATAGAAATATCACATCCCCGTCCGAGATGTCTACAAACTGGTGTTGTACTCTTGTAGGTTGTAGGCCAGGTGTAGTTGTTCATAAGTTGATGATAGATAAGTGAGATTACTACAAACTACCGCTTTGTTTGACTTGACGTTTGAGGGTAATAGACATGTTTCAACTTCCTCCTAACTAATTTTAGTGTTCATCGTAATTTGAACAGTTCAGAGTCTATTGACTTATCATTCCTAAAATGGATAAAATTTCAAATTATCATCTTGATGAATTTGCAACACTACTGAGAAATTCATTGCGAAAGAAACGCAACAGATGAGTAAACAATCTTGTATGGCTGTATCTGATGTTATTTTGGGAAAGTTTCATATCTAAAAATAATCGTGTAGGTCAATTTCCACACATGTGAGTCGCTACATCAGTCTGTAAGCATCTCAACCTCGATTTCCGTAAAGTCCAGCTTTTAGGGTTCCATACATACCCATGCTTTTCGGGAAGCAAACAACTATATGATGTGGACCGGTTGCGTAAATAGACATTCCCAGATTGTAGACGGTACCTAAAAATAAAATTCTGAAATCAGAATTTCAATATGAACTAAGTTATTTTTCAATTATTTTCAATAGGAATTAGATAAAATATACAGACATTTTGAGTTAGAAACATGATCAACAGACCTGACGGCCACAGCCAATAACTAAGTCAATTCCGCAGATAGCGGAACATTTTTGTAACATGTTTGTGAATGTGTGAAAGCTATTTCCCAAGTTTTTTGGCCGTGGTCTGTAGGTTTGTATGCCTTACGTATGCCTACTGCGGTAGACATTATCAAAGGCATGTGGTAACGGTAGCAGTATCCGAGTTGGTGCTCGAATTTTGGTTTCCTTGATTTAAGAGAAACCAAGCCACACCTACTAATAATGATATAAAGCCAGAGTCAATTACTTGCATCGTAGTTACCGCGTTCGAAACGGGAACAACTCATTCACCGCAGCCAATTACATTAGGAAAAAAGTAAGCCACTTACCTAACAACTAAAAATAAAATTTTTTGGTATCTTGTGTTTTCTTTTCGGGAAAAAAATTGTGACCTTTATATCGCATATCATAAACATGGAAAAAATTGATTTTCTATTAATATCTAAAACACATCGCGCCCATTCTTCTCAAACTTGGTATAGCAAGCGCCAAACTTGATGGAGAACGATCGCCCAGGTATAGACTCTCCCAACTAAGTTACTATTGGAGCCCCTTGCCGGCTAGTGTCGTACCTATAGTTAGTTTTAATTAGGGAACTACAAAAAGCTATATTCAATACGATAGAAGTAGATCGTTCCAATGACACTAGGAAGATTGCACATTCAAGCCAACATCCATTTGTAAAGTTTAAAAAAAACCTCATTCAGCCATTTTACATACACCAAGTCCAAGGTCTACTGCCTCGGAATCTCCACCCAAGATTAATTGTTCACGAGGTGCTATTGTTGTAAATTGTCCCCTGGTCTTCGTCGATCGATTGTGACCTTGTTCTAGGTGTCGCGTCGCTTCGAAAATATTTCTATAGGCTTTCGAAGACTTCCATCGGGATATACTCGTATAAGCACTAAAAACAGACAGAGGAGGCTAGTCTAGTTGGAAGTGCGGTATGAAGTGAACTATTAAGGTAATAGACATTTGAATATTAGTCTCAAGTTCAGTTGAAGTTTTTGTATAGTACTGACAGTGTAGTAGTGAAACAAAGTTGAGTTTAACTGTACAGTGTGGTCAATTATTGTCGAACATACGGGGAAAACATAACACTATAATAAACATTCACAACAACCATTTTTGACCCGACAAAAATCCCTACGTTATTAAAAAAAATCATTTTCAGCAAAATGACGCTAAACGTTTGGGTAAGAATTATTGATAACTACTTGAATGGACCATTTTATTACTAGTAAGATTAATAGGTTAATCTTACACTAACTTTTAGTATAGAATCATTTACCCATTCTGTTAGAAAAAGTACCCTTACTTGTAAGAGTCAGCATGTGGTTTATGCACAAGGGTACCTACTCCAGCTCATTTCATTGTTCTTGCTCGTCAGCATCTCGACATCACCTATCTTAATCGCTGTATTGAACCTGCAGGACCTCAACACTGGTTAGCTCGCAGTCCTTCAATGAATCTTCTAGATTTCTATTTATGTGGTCATCTGAAGACCCTCTCTTATTGAAATCCTTAACTAGATGTGAATGACTTGAGGAATCCAATGATTGACAATTGCAATGTCATAAGGAATACTTCATGAGTTTTTCAATGACGATCAATGACAAATCGTGTATTTTATCATCAGAAGGTTTAGAGCCGAGATTGTTAATTTTTTATCCTATGTTTTTATTTTATGTTATGTTTTCAGAATGAGGTAAAGTGAATTTTTTTCTCGAAAACGAAACTAGATATGAAGAAAACACAAAATACAAAAAAATTGAGATTTTTAGTTGCTTGATCTAAAAAATATACAGTGGCGTATTTTTTCCTCAATATTATTAGCTGTGGTGCTGAGACAGCACTTGATCTAATAATTCGAATCTAGTTATGACTACTAAATAAGCTCCTTATTATATTTCAACTAACTCTAGCAAGTTTCAAGCAAACCGGTTTAAGGATATTTTCAAAATTGTTTTTTTTAAACGACCTTTATCTCAAAAACGAATCAACTGCGGATATATGTTCATAAGAACTTTTTTCTTCGAACGACCTAATGAATCACCCCTCAAGTTTCGTACCGTAGTTAGGAAACATCCTGTATATATTAAAAAATCATTAATATTATCCAAAAAAATTATTTCAAAACTAAATATTCAATAATCTGATTGATATCTCAATAATCAAAATCGCTAAAATAAAAAATCGAATTCAGGAGATTCAAATTTGGGATCGCTACGATACCAATTTTATATTCCACACACATTTCTAGAGACATTTTTTTGAAAACGTGATGAGTTGATGGAGTGCTTGGAGCTGCCAATAATAGCACATATGTATATGTTGGGATAAGCAGAGCTTCTACGATAAAGAAAGATAGTTCGATATATTGATAAACTACTAAAAATAAATTTTGTATTATATTCATGTTACTGATAACATGATACTCAAGCGCCTAGATTTTGGAATTTCTTGTTTTCTTTCACTTACCGTCATTCATTACATGAGGATGAGACGTATGGTTCACAATGGATACATATTCCGAAACATTCACTCTACCTTCCGTCGCCAGTGTTTCAGAATTTATTTTATGAATAATTGGAACTTCTGTGAAAGCATATAACTCGTCTCCGAATGGATACACAGATATCATAGCATTGTCAGATGTTTCTTTTTTGAAAATTGACGCAATCCTGAAAAGTGACAAATATCTATACACAGGTTACAAACTACAGTAGTATAAAATAACTATGTCCGCGCTACAGACACAACAATATAAGATTGTAGAAACCGACACTGATAAGTTACTTTTCCATTATTAATCCCAAATCTGAAACATGGAAAAACCCTATTATCCACTCAAATGATATTTGGGTCCTATAAAATACTATATATATAATCCAGTTGTGTGTTATTGAGATTGAAAAGTGAGAATAAATAACTTCAATGTACCTAAATTATGGATAACGTCTTCCAAATTGACAATAGAACAAATTTTGATTATAATTAAAAAAATATTACCTATGCAGAAGTGCTGAACTGTCGAATAGATGAATAAATTCTTCCTCACCAACTTTCAAGGAACCTGGACCATTCCGTATCAAAGATCCATTCAACCATTTCGGTATTTCCCCTGTAA